TTAACCCTTAACATACACCCTGGGTCAAAATGACCCAGTAAAAAATTGTTTTGCATTATCTATCATTGAAACGCTGAAATCGGGATCTGTCGCGTCGTCTCTTGGTAGTTTTAACCTCTCTCTAGATGGTGGTACAGTCGCTGTAAGTCAGCAGGCGTCCGGCTGTGTCTGGCTGCCGTCTGCGTCAAACGTTCCGAAAATCACGGGTCATTTTTTGAAATGTTAGCTTTCGCGCGTATTTTTACCTTAAAGTATATAATCCAGAGAGTATGCAGTTAAATTTTCACGTAAAAATATTAAAAATTTAGAAAGTTATTGAATATTTCGTAAAAAACAATTTTTTGGTTTATAAACCATATTTTCAATTTTTGAACCATAAAGCTTTATTAATAACCCTTCACAAACAATCTCACATTTATTTTGAGTGTTGCAAGAATACACCCTTTTAATTTCAGCCAAAAAGAATTGATCCCCCGTTTGTGGTAATTACGCAAAGTAGCGCTGGGTCAAAATGACCCAGTGTGTATTTTATGTCTCAAACAGGTAATGTGTATGTTAAGGGTTGCGACGCTTTTTCCCCCGGTCTCGCAATCCGGTGGAGGGCTATCGAGGATTGGCAGCACGCACAACTAATTCCGACACCAAAAGATTGGGCGCCAGGTGCGACGGATCGCACCACCGTACACTAATATGTCTGACGCGATATTCCCGGCAATACCCCAGGGCGTAGGGCTCTTTCAGGGAATTCGGAGAGAGGCGTCACTCAATTAATCACACTCACAAGAAAATAAATAATAATAACAGAATATATTTGGTCAGATAATATCAATATAATCGGTCTGAGTTTCTCGTATTACCGCCAAAAAAGTCGGATAGGCTGACGCACAAATGCCGCAATAACGCAATAAGGGCACGCGGTAATGTCGAATCTTTCACACGGCAACGCAACATATAAACGCAGACGAACACACGAAGCTTGACCTACGAATTAAACAATTACGATTCCGACTCAGGTATCGCGGTACCTGGCTTCAAACTCACAACGAACTTACGCCACGAGGCCGACGAACCGACTCGCCGCACCTTCGGTTGCTCCTTCAACGTACACCCGGGCCACCTCGATTCCGCGCGACGCAAAAATTATGGGCGATCTCGCCGAGTCGACCACGCTGGCCGGCGATTGCCCCCGAACACGAAATAAGGACTTGTGTCGCGGACGATCCCGCGGCTTGCCACGCGAATCCCGAATTCTCTCGCAAGCACGGAGATTCCGCGGCCCCGCACCGATCCCGTCGATCTCTTCGTCCCGCCAAACCAATATTCGCTGTCCTCGAGGGCCCGGATACGTCACTCAAATACGAGGGCGAGTGCCCTTCAAATTACATGACCACTCGCGGCTCGCCGTTACCCGCACAACTCGCTCCCGTTATCGCCACGCCAGACCTCACTCTCATTATCACTCTCGTTAATATGGCCAAGACGCGACACGATTGCGAGCTTAAATAATATGGCCAAAACGCGACACGATTACGAACATAAACTCTATCACAATAAAACGCGACACGATTACGAATAACGCGATACGATTACTTACATTAATTCGACGAGAAGCTACATAAACGCGACACGATTACTTCGATTCACACATCTCAACGCCACACGACTGTCGGCCGTGGCGGTGCTCGCGGGGAGGGCGCAAATGGTCTCTACGCATTCGAGAGCTCACTCTCGGCAAGGCCCTGGCACTTTTTCCACACGACTCTACTTCAAGGCGAGCGCAAGGTATCGCACGCTCTAACGCGGTACACAGGTATCCTGCGTAACTCCGGTAACCAACGTGTGCCACGGGCCGATGCCTCGAGCGAACCCTCTTCTCTTAACGCGGGGACGCCAGAGTGGTGACCTTACAATCGTTGTCGTCCCTCCGGTCGTCCGGGCAGCTCGTTATCCAGGAGATGCTCCTCGCTCGTTAGCCGGCACGACAGTGTCGGAAACGATGGCCTGCCGGGATCGCGCCGGTTCCCCGCGCCTGCGCTGTGGCGTGTCGCTCGACCGGATTGCCGATCCTAGCGCTTCCTGCGCCTAGGCTGCACGTGCGCCGCTCCTTCCGGGGGCGCCACTCCATTCCAGGGCGCTCTCGTCGGCGCCTCAGCTTCTCGCGCGCCTCCCTTTCCGGCGGCGCCGCTGCAATCACCTCCGATTCGGCGCGGGCTTTTTGATTCAACCGGCTGTCCGGGCCGCGATGATCGGGTCGGCGTTCGGGGTCAGGCTGGCCGGGCCTCGGCCCCGTCTGCCGGCATCCCCCTCGAGGTGACCGCCCCAGGGCGGTACCTTTCCCTGGGCCGCTCCTCGGCACCCTTGTTCCACTGGCATTTCGCTCGGGGGTGATCTGGGGTCTTCCTGATTGTTATACTGCCGCTGTTACGACCGAGTGCGGGGTGAACTCCGGCCGGCGGCGCTCACGCACTTGCGGGGAGGTCCGGGCGATCCGACTTCCAGCCATGTCCCCTGGCCGTCTCCTCAATCCTCTGCCCTTCCTCGTTGCGGCTCCCGGCCGTTACAGATGGCGTCCGGTCACCACCGGCAATCCCTTCAAAACTTAATATCTAATTAGACCAATTAATATACGCAACCGCCCTCCTCTCGCTCTAACGAGGAGGCACCCCCGAATTCCCCTCGGCCGAGCCCGTCCGGGAAGGAGACGCGACTTGTCACGTCACAGGGTTAAGTCTCTATATTCTCTTTATTAATGATAAAAATATACTTACTACGAAACTTTTATCAACAATCTCTTGGATAATGCAACCATTGTTCCCAATTACTTTTCCTATTAACAGTCGTGGGACTTGTATAAACTCCTCGCTGTATTTCAACATAGATCAGCTTTCTTAACAACTTTATTCTGTAATTGAGAAAGAAATCTGATAAGCTCTATATACCAATCCAATATAATGCAACGAATATATATATACATTTTAGATAAAAAAAAACAATCAATAAACTTTTATAAAACAGTACTCTTCGAAATAATATAAGATGATAATAATTTTTATTATTACCTCTCCATATATCTTAAATGTACATGAATTTTCTTCTAACTCTATATTTGTAATATCATCAACTTTCCGCGCTTATTGAATATTTGTACCATAAGCACCAATAGCTAGTCCTATCAGATCTTCTCGAACATTAAATTATCGATATATCTAAAATAAAAAAAATTTTACATTGCACATCTCTTTACACAATATTATTCAAGATAAAGTTTCTCTCTTTCTCTCTCCCCCCTCCCTCCCCTCCTACTCTACTCTCTCCCTCCCTCTCTCTCTCCCTCCCCTCCATCCCTTCCTCCCTCCT